ATGCTACATCACTACTACATGTATATGTATCAGTGTAATTTCCCTAATAATGCTAACTCACACTTCTTTGCTTGACGTTCAATCATTTTAATCTCTACACTTCAATCTCTGAATCTTATTTACTGTCCATTGTCTTTACAGGTAATAGGCTTAAGGCGTGCATTGTTAAAATTTGATAATACCATTGTTTATGATAGCTGAAAAATACCATGCATAGTAGTCTAGTAGTGAAGCATCACCACCGATATTGGTTCAATAATTGGATGATACATGTACCACCATTTAGAGTGGTTAAGCTGTCTGATGACATCAGTATTTTATACTCGTAGTGATTCAATAATTGGATGATCCATGTACCACCATTTAGAGTGGTGAAGCTGTCCGATAACATCAGTATTTTATACTCGTATACGTAGTGATTCAATAATTGGATGATACATGTTCCACCATTTAGAGTGGTGAAGCTCCCCCATGACATCAGTATTTTATACTTGTAGTGATTCAATAATTTGGTGATACATGTACCGCAATTTAGAGTGGTTAAGCTGTCTGATGACATCAGCATTTTATACTCGTAGTGATTCCATAATCGGATGATACATGTACCACGATTTAGAGTGGTGAAGCTCCCCCATGACATCAGTATTTTATACCCGTAGTGATTCAATAATTTGGTGATACATGTACCGCAATTTAGAGTGGTTAAGCTGTCCGATGACATCAGTATTTTATACTTGTAGTGATTCAATAATTTGGTGATACATGTACCGCAATTTAGAGTGGTTAAGCTGTCTGATGACATCTGTAGTTTATACTCGTAGTGATTTAATAATTGGATGATCCATGTACCACCATTTAGAGTGATGAAGCTGTCCGATAACATCAGTATTTTATACTTGTAGTGATTCAATAATTGGATCATACATGTGCCCCCATTTAGAGTGGTGAACCTGTCTGATGACATCAGTAGTTTATACTCGTAGTGATTCCATAATCGGATGATACATGTACCACCATTTAGAGTGATGAAGCTGTCCGATAACATCAGTATTTTATACCCGTAGTGATTCAAGAATTGGATGATACATGTACCCCCATTTAGAGTGGTGAAGCTCCCCCATGACATCAGTATTTTATACTCGTAGTGATTCAATAATTGGATAATACCAACTTTCACCGTGGTTAAATAATTTTGTGACAAATACGCTGCATTTTATTACACCAATCACATATTTACAAAGTATTTATCATGGCAGGAATAAAGATAGACTTTCTACCATCACTATTACTGTATAATCAATGTTACCAAACTATTGATTTATAATGCCTGTCACTGGAGTTGTAGGAGTTAAAACATTAACAGTCGTGTAGTATATCTGACTGAGCTATTTTTTCCTGTGGTTTGTTTCCTTTGTTTATTAGGGTATTAATGAATATTCATTATCATGATTGTTTAATGTGTAGCCATGGTTAGCAGCTGCCAGACAAATGTAGGCAATTCCTACCATTGGAACTTTATACAAATGCGAGACAGTTTTAAAACAAGGGGCTAAGAGGGCCTGTATTGCTCGTCTGAGTTTGTCAAAATCTTTTCATTAATATTACCATTTTTCTCCACTTTGGGCTCTACCTCCATGTACCAAGGGGGACAACACTCTGCCATTGTGTAATGATTGATTTTCCTGGGTTATTTATTGATTTTCCTGGGTCATTTATTGATTTTCCTGGGTTATTTATTTAACTTATACAACATTATATTCCCTTGGTCCAAGAATGCTCCAGATCAAATTTATAATTTGAAATTCCTTCATTTATTAGGAAGAAGAAGGATTTTTAAAATATACCGCTATTTCTCCTAAATGGGCCCTAGTCGGAGTAGTCGCTCTCTCCTCCGGGAGGCACACCATCAGTTTATACAACACTGATCATGAGTCCACCTGGGCAAGGACACTCACAAACAAATTGGGTTAAATCCCTACGTCCATGCATACAAAAGGAGAAGGCTTGAACAATATACTTTTTCACCCTAATGAGCCCTGTCCATTTGTCCTTAAAATGTGATACTGCTACATAAAAAATATTCAAACAAGGAAACCGGAATTATATAATTATTGAATTTTAACTATCCGAGAAATTTTGATAACAAAAGGAATCAAAATTAAACTTCTACAGTAAAATTCAAGAAATTTGCCTTCTTTGCCTACTGGCTACCTTTTTTTAATAAATCTGAAAATGAAAAATCCATAAAAAAAAAGTCAAGAAGATCCTAAATAACACCTCCCTACAATGCTGCCTGAGAAACAGATATAACAAACTAGCTGTCCAATTACTAGTTGCAAAATGAAATATTCACAACAAAGGACTAAGAGCAACCTACATATAAAATCTGAGGAAGATCTGTCAGTATAGTTCTTAACAGCAAAGAGTAGCTTCAGGATGGATGACGGACCACTGACAAAGTCAATGTAAACAGTTATCATCTGATGATTGTGGGCTTAAAAACTGAATAAAACTGGAATCTGCTATCGTAAAGTATCATGTGCTTCAGTTAAGGTCTCGACGAAGGACATCACTAAACATGTCAGTCCACCTGCAGTACAACAGGTAGGTTTGTTTTATAGTGACCAGTGCTGTAATTACAGGCCAGCACATCAAATAACCTTATGTATAACACAATCACAACCTTTTATACTTATCACACAGGATTGATAAAACATTTAAAGTCCACTTGCTATACTCAGTACCTTTAAAGTTGCACAAAACTTTTTTCACACATTACGATCTATACACGTCGCTTGTTTTAGGTTTCTGCCAGGCATAAACCTGTTCAAAAGATCTACATCTAATTATATGTACACACGGAAGGCTGTAAAGATTTCTGAACCAATACGCGATACATATCCATTTTCACATAAATTTACACATTTGTATAAATTTGTCAATACTCAAATTTCATTAAGGAAAAATGTCTGGCAAATTCTTTTCACAGTGGGCTGGTGTAAAGAAACGGTATAACTTAGACCTGAACAAAATCAGAAACCCAGATAACAGGCAAATTAACATTTACGTATCTGGAGCGATGGCCAGGGGTCAACTTTAAGTATATGATCATAAAAGCTTGTCAACTCCAGCTTTACACCATACATTTAAATACTTTTAAAGTTTCATGCATACCAAGTTTTTGATTCCAGATCAATCAACTTAAACCACAGTTAAAGCAGTAAAGGATGGTAATGATATACAAAACACGTCAAAAACATCCATTTTTCAGTGATTATATAAATCATTGAAAGAGAAATTTAGTAGCAGCTGCGACATTAAAAATAAACCCTGCCAGTCAATTTCACCTGTATACACATGCATGTAGCCATGAAGGGTGAATTAATTGTCGAAAATTTCAATGAAAAAGGAAGAATAAACATCTAAAAATTGTTAATGTTTATTTTTCTATTTTGTGCTGTTGTTGGACTCACTGTACTGTAAACATGGAGCGTAAGTGTGATTCATACCTATTACATTTACGTTTTGATCAGCTGCATACATTTCCCCAGCAATATCATACAGAAAAGGATGTCGGCAGAACTTACAATAACTTGACATTACCCTTACCTTCACAGAGCTTGAATGACCTTGATCTTTATTTTGCCTTGACATATCCAATGTCCATGACATTGACTAATCTCACCTTAACAGATCCAGGGTACCTGTCAGCTGATATACATGTACTACCCCCAGTATCCTTAAATCTCACCTTAACAGATCCAGGGTACCAGTCAGCTGATATACATGTACTACCCCCAGTATCCTTAAATCTCACCTAAACAGATCCAGGGGGTACCTGTCAGCTGATATACATGTACTACCCCCAGTACCCTTAAATCTCACCTTAACAGATCCAGGGCAGCTGTCAGCTGATATACATGTACTACCCCCAGTATGCTTAAATCTCACCTTAACAGATCCAGGGCAGCTGTCAGCTGATATACATGTACTACCCCCAGTATGCTTAAATCTCACCTAAACAGATCCAGGGGGCCCCTGTCAGCTGATATACATGTACTACCTCCAGTACCCTTAAATCTCACCTTAACAGATCCAGGGTAGCTCTCAGCTGATATACATGTACTACCCCCAGTAACCTTGAATCTCACCTTAACAAATCCAGGGTTCCTGTCAGCTGATATACATGTACTACCCCCAGTACCCTTGAATCTCACCTTAACAAATCCAGGGTACCTGTCAGCTGATATACATGTACTACCCCCAGTACCCTTAAATCTCACTGTCATCTCGTCATATCCTGTGATGACCTTGAGCTTTACACTCTCTTATTGAGACCCTACAGTGCCCTTCACTCTCTCCTTCACATATCCTGTGATGACCTTGAGCTTTACACTCTCTTATTGAGACCCTACAGTTCCCTTCACTCTCTCCTTCACATATCCTGTGATGATCTTAAGCTTCATCTATATATTTGACCTACTATTTAGTGACCTTGCATTTACTATCACCTTGATAGATCCAGAGGTGCCCTTCAGTTTACTCACACCTTGACAGATCCAGAGGTGCCCTTCAGTTTACTATCACCTTGACAGATCCAGAGGTGCCCTTCAGTTTACTCTCACCTTGACAGATATAAAGGTGCCATTCAGTTTACTCTCACCTTGACAGATCTAGAGGTGCCCTTCAGTTAATCTCACCTTGACATATCTAGAGGTGCCCTTCAGTTTACTATCACCTTGATAGATCCAGAGGTGCCCTTCAGTTAATCTCACCTCGACAGATCCAGAGGTGCCCTTCAGCTTACTCTCACCTTGACAGATCTAGAGGTGCCCTTCAGTTAATCTCACCTTGACATATCTAGAGGTGCCCTTCAGTTTACTATCACCTTGATAGATCCAGAGGTGCCCTTCAGTTAATCTCACCTCGACAGATCCAGAGGGGCCCTTCAGTTTAGTCTCACCTTGACAGATCTAGAGGTGCCCTTCAGTTAATCTCACCTTGACAGATCCAGAGGTGCCCTTCAGTTTACTCTCCAGCAGCCCCACACGATCGTTAGCCTCCTTTTCCAGTTCCTCCACTGTGGACACCAGCACCTCATTCTGTTCACTGAGGTCGTTCACGTATGCCTGCAGCACCCGCACTCGCGTCTACAGAAATATAGATACATACAGTATTAAAGTATACAGGTAAATGTTTATACTGACATGGGTCAATCAAGACTTGATTTACTTCCGTTTATGGGTAGTTTCCCCAACAGAATAAAATTGCACTGTTCTCTGAAATTCGCCGACGTACTTTAAACCTCACCTAAATTTCAACATGAAAATAGCTGTTTTTCTTCAAAATATTTCCCCAATATGATTTTTCTTTCAATTCAAACAGTTTAAAATGCATAATACTGCATACATTCATTTTCTTCACACATAATTTTAACAAAAATTCTCATAAATTGAAATATACTGCACACATGTATGTCGGAAACAAACATTTATCTATAACCTTGATGACGCTAGAGCCTTGTATCAAAATATCAATTTCCCCAAAATCTGAAAAAAGGGTGGATTCCCCTAAATCCTAGATTGATTCCTGACTGAGACTCAGGCAGTATTAAAAAGTTGGAGACTCCACCTAGGTCAATATCACTTTTTTCGGTTTATATCACATCAGAGTTTAGGTCTAAGAATGAAAACACTTGTGTTTTTGCTAACGTTAACAAATCCAATCTTTAACTTTGGTACTTATCCTGAAAGTTTTTATTCCAATTTTAATCAGCAACCGTAAGTTTAGATATCTGTTCAATATCAATTTATGTAAATATTTTTGAAATAAAGAAAAACTTGATGGTTAATTGAACATATATATGATCCAACCACCTAAAAAAAAATATTTTATGGAACAAGACACATTTTATTATTAATGAAGTACTGTTAATGGTAACCTAGTTTTCCCTATCAGAATTACAAGTACAGTATGTACTTCTAATTTTTTACTCCAAAAGCATTTACGTGTTTTAGAATTATGTGTGTTAAAAACCTTTCTATATAATGAATTGTTACAACATTGTCCTTAATAAAAAAATAAAAAATAAATTCAACGACTGGTTTAATGTTTCCAATCTTTAAATAACATTAACAATTCACAAATTTGTTAATCCACTTTGTATAAGTAATTGTACGGGTTCATTAGGTTTTTTTCTTCACCTTGGCCTAGAACACCTAGTGAAAGAATTAATATTTGCCCTAAATCTGACTAATATGATTCAAAGTGGTTTTGTACAGTTAAAAATGTATTGAAAATATTAAATGAACAACAACAAAAACAGACACACACAATGAAATAACTTTCTACCTTCAGACTCTGACCCTTCCAAATGTTCAACTTGCAACCCTATATACACCTATTGTTTTTCCCTTATTTTCATTAATGCTTTCAGTATTCAAAAGTAAAAAAAAAATTAACGAAACAAATGTTGAAATTTAAATTCACCACACAATGCAATCTATCGAACCTGATCTACACTAAATCTGTACATATCTTGACTCAAGTATTCCACTTAGATGTGTTGTAAATCTTCATACCTCCACCTGGACCACATGTCAACAGCAGGAAAGGGTGAAGTAGGGTAACGTGACAATCAACAAGCTGTTACTACAGTACTGTACACTAAATCACAATCAATAAATCAACCAAACACATCCTCCCAGGATAGCATTGTCACAATGGTGTACTTCAGTAAACGATCCAGACACACACACAATGCATAGGTGTGATAATCTATTACATGTCAATCTTAATACAAATACAAACTTCAATCAGTTGAATCTTTGAGGTTTAAAATTCAGCACAGATATTTACAGACCTGGTATTTGAACAATGAACATACAGGAGAAATTGCATTTTACTTTAATTTAAAAATCATAATGTATTTTCTTTTCAAAATAAATGTATTGTTTGCAAACATATTTGAATTTAATATTTAGGATTAAATATAGATTTTGTATCAGAAAATAAACTAAAACACTGTTTAACAATTGTTTACTCTTGTCAGGTAAATCTGGGACCTTCAACACTGGTCTGTTGGTAAATTAATAATCACATCACCATTTGCAAACCTCCATAATGATGATAGCCTAATCATTACTTTCCTATACCTTCATGTATAAACAATGTTTTGAATTCGTGTTGAGTGCATTTTCTACAAATAACAATATTTAGGACCATACCTTGGATTCTTACAAAATTTCAAAAATAAAACATTATCCCCTCCGCATTAAAGCCATGTTGGTCTCTGTGGAGAATAACATATAGATTGTTTAGATATACATATATTAACATTCGACAATTCACATCAATTATATACCTTCTGTGTGTCTTCTCCGCAAAGTTCAGCATCATCAAGTCGCTGCAACCTGCTTTCATACACTCCCTTGAACTCCCCGAGGAGGTTGTGCATCTGTCCACTCGTCTTCCCACCTGTTACCCTCATCCCTTGTCCCACTATGTCCTCCATTTCAAGGGTTACCCCCAAGTAAACTGCTCCCCGTTTCCTCTTGTTTCAATTAACACACTATCACCTTCATCAGTAAATCATGAAATCCTCACCTAAATAATATATCATGATGAGTTGTTGCAAGCTTCATCGAGCGGAAGACAGCCCTAGTAATCCAACACCAAAAACCCGCAGTAAGCTTTAATTTCATTGGATGTATTCGAAATCACATGGAAAAGTGATCCAATAGTAGTACTTCTACTTTTTAGCCCAATGTTTTGATTTTGCACATGGGAGTTGTATCATTTTCCAAATCCAAAACGTGATGTTTTATCGTAATATTTCGCCAGAAACAGGCGATGTCAATGTGTCTTTTTAGGCGACAGCAATGTCATGTTCTAAATATTGATATAATTTGGCGAATTTGTATCGACAAACATTGATGATCTACGTGTGCCGGGAAACCGCTGGGGCAAGTTTTGACACGACCTTCTGGTGTCGAGAGTGAGCTTCACGCTGTGGTGCTCCGAGTCAATAGGCGGAAATACTGGGTAATCACCGGGCTCGCGGCGACAGTAATAATACGGCGAATACAAATGTTTTCTTACATAATTAAGATGATAAGTCTTTTTTTACGAACGGACAAAACAACCTGCTTTAAAAAAAGACAATTGGGATTAATTAAAATAATTGTTACCGATACCAGGTACATGGTGACGAATTCCATTACTTGCTTGAGTGTCCATCACTATCTGGGTTTCGAATTTTATACATAGACAAATATTTTTGGACGAGACCAAATGTAATTAAGTTTAATGAATTGATGAATACTACTAATATAAAAACACTGAAGAAACTTTGTACTTTTATTAGAATAATTAATAACAGTATTTGACCTCCTCGATATAAATGTGTATATATTATACAACAGTACTGTGTACTACCGACTACGAACACTACAATGTATATATTATATTGTAAATATGTTTCTCTATACATTGTATTGTGAAAGAGAATAAAGTTGAATTGCCGATACTAAGTATTAGGCCTAACGGTAGAGATGGATGGATATAGCCAATATAGACGACCTGTCAATTAATAATTAGTCATTATATGCATTCGCTTTCTGAAAATGAAATCGTGTGTCATCTGCTTGGAGGCGAAGCTATAACTTCAGTTTAGAAAATAATGAATGGGGAGAATTGAATTACTTCTGTGGTAGAATATCTACATGTCTAACAAAACGTGCAGAATTTACAGCTGATTTGAGAGTAACCCTACCATGTACTGTATATATATATACATGTTTAGTTGAAAACAGAGACGTAGTTAGGGTCTACAATGTACGTAAGGCTTAATACTTTATCTGAATAGATATATATATATATACGTTTTTGTTACATCTTTGTAATTATCCATTGTAATCTTCATTTGGAGGAAATAAAGAGAAAAATAATTTACTAAACTGATCAAAATTAAATTGTCAATAACTGCAATAACTGCATGCGTGATATTTACTTGAAACTAATTAACACTATTCAAAACCTCATATTAACTTAATAAGAGTGTATTTTTGTAATGTATATATTGAAGGAATTGTTTTTTAGCATACATGTCCAATGGAAACAAAGAGAATTAAAACGAATTCATATATATGATTAAAACAGCACTTATCGATTCGTTAATTTTGTATGTGAATTTTGCCTTGAAACAAAATTTAGATGCCCGAAATATTTGGACACCCTTTTGCCAAGATTTTCCAAGATTTTAATTGTTCACTCAGTCGCATTAGTGGGAAACGAGAGGTCATACACATGGTACATTTTAAACATGGCGGAACATTATAGGATACGGTATGGAGTTGATATAACAAAAAGTACTTTATATAACAGAAATATCATAACTATGTATTTATAACTATGCTTTCAAAATTCTGTCTATTTTTTCTAGAAATCTACTTATACGAGTGAGAACACGTGTATTTCAAATTGAGAAAAGACCTTGAATTTTATTCAAGCTTGGATTTTTACAATAGTAATTGCATATCAAATCATATTCACATTTGATTAAATAGTGAAACTCATCCCAAATTTCCACATTACATAATGCACACTTTCGATCCTGGCGTGGCAAGCCTGCCTATTGGCCTGTTTCAATTGGTAAATGCAAATTTGAAGTACGGAATTTTACAATGTATTTTCTGCCTTTGTTTTTTTTTTTTCAAAAGATATTTTTCAAATTTGAATTGTGTCTTGAAAACAGAATACACCTGTCCTCCAGAGGAGATTTCAATGTCATGAAACCACTTTTGAACGAATTGATCTTGTAACCGTTGTTTCAAAATTAATTTGAAGTATTCTATATTCGTTGTGCACGTGTTTTGATAATCCCAAACGTAATTTAGGCCAGTTTGACAAAATATGTTTCTAACAAATTTTAGCCTTTCAAATTCCATACTTTTATAAGCCTCTTTGTCTGAAATTTTCTTTTAATTATTTTGTCCCTTCAAGTTTTTTCAAAAAAAGAAGTTATATTTCTGACTTCATATAATATGGAAAATTTCAATGAGAAAGAAAAAACTACATGTGGTTTATTTGATTGTGTTCTGAGAGCATCTTACCTTCATAACCATTGTTGTCTGTGATATGTTACTATCTTAAATAAAAATTGGTTAGTGTGCCTGTCCAACTATTATACTAGCGCTTGAAGCCCTGATTGTTGTTAAATCACTGGCTTAGATAAAGCAGAGACGTATATAACAGAGATTTGTAATATATACGTCTCTGGATAAAGGGACCCGGGCAGGTTCCCAACCCCCGTTCCTGGAACGTTTAAGTGTGTTCTAAGCATAATCTGGTTAAAAGCGAGGTAACTCTTATCAGAACATCGACACAATTGACGGCTTTGCCTAAATGAGCAGAGTTTCTGTGGACTCGACTCAGACTTCTGACATTTTAACATATCTGGTGTTGAAGTCCTGATCTTTGATACTTTGGTTTGTTTGTGTTTTAAGTCCTATTAATAGCTATTGCCTGGCATATGTATTATGCAGAAATGTTACCTAATGGCAGCTAACAGCCCGGCCACTCACCTGCCCTCATTCCAATCAGGGTATGCGAGTATCGATAATGTTTTACATGATATTTTCAATAGACTTTCGAAACTTGAAACTCTTGATTTGATCATGAACCGATTGAAAATAATAGAGGATAAATTTGCTGGTATGGAATGTTCTTTGGCTGAAGTAAAAAAGGAGCTGAAAGTTCACAGCGAGAGACTTGAGGGGGCAGATTTTGATCACTCCATCATGGAAGAAAGGATGAGTAAAACAGAACAGGAAAGGGACTGGGCACGGGAGGAATGTAGTCACCAAAGGGAGAAAATTATAGAACTACAAACAAGGTCGATGAAAGACAATTTGCTTTTTTCCGAAATCCCCGAAAATGACGCCAACGAAAATTCAGAAACTGTGCTGAAAGAGTTAATTAAGTCTGAAATGGGAGTTGATGAGGATATAGAGTTCCAAGTTGTCCACAGGCTGAGGAAGCGCCCAGACGGCAAGCCTCGATCGATGGTGGCTAAATTCGTGAAAAGAAAAAAACACGAAACTGTCCTCAAAGCCGCGCCTAATCTGCGAAACAAAGTATACTCTGTAAATGAACAGGTTCCTCAAGAGGTAAACGATTGACGGCGCGCACTGTATCCAGTTTACAGGGAGGCTCGTGATCGCAGGCAAAATGCTCGACTGAAGGGAGACAAATTGTTCGTTGACGGAAGGCTATACAATCCACCCCAACAAGAACCAGCTACCACGACCTCCTTTGAGGCCCGCCGTGATCCAAGCCGTCCTTCCGGTTCCGGTCCCGCTTCCGGTCACGATAGGAGACGGCAACCACGTGGACGCGGACACTCTAACCATCAGTACAGTTAGGGGGACGTCACAAGAGGTCTATCACGTGACCTATATAGTGACTCTGATAATACTGTTACTACTACAGAAACTGATTGTAAAGAACGACTTAAACTCCCATTTCTAAATGTATGTGGTATCAAATCAAAACTTAGCTTACCAGAATTTGCATTACTGATTGAATCCTATGATATATCAATTTTTGTTGAAAGTAAGATGGATGCTTTTAATGTATTACAGATACCACACGGGTATGCATACTTTTGTAAAAATAGGTCAAAAACAGGTGAGGGAGAAATTTAGTGGTATTGTTATCATATATAAAGAAGAATTGGAACCGCAGTTACTCTTTCACCACACTCCTTCATATTTTGTCCAATGGTTAAGATTATCAAAATACTTGATAAGTCAAGATTGTGACATGTTATTGGGATGTGTAGACATTCCTCCTGAAAACTCTAAATAATATAAAATGAGATGAATGATCTGACTTGATTTTTGTAAAGAAAATAATTTATATATTGCAAATGGTCGAGTTGGGAAAGACAAATTAGTTGGGAAGACAACTTGTAATGATACCAGTGTAATTGACTATCTCTTATTGTCATCAGATCTTTTGGAAATTGTAACAAACTTTGAAATTCTTGATAGAACGGAAGTGCACAATATAAATGTTAGAAGTAAGGATTCCCCTACAAATAACTATGTTAAATGGAATAATGACAAGGTATCGAACTTCGTCAATTATATTGAAGAAGATAATAATGGTACTTTAAAAGAAATTGTTGAAAAATTGGACCTGATTACGGGAAGACCTAATAATTTAGTTACAGCTGTTGAAATAAATGATGTAGTAAATACAATGAGCAATTTATTCAAAGATTCGGCAAAACATAACTTTTGGGAAAAGAAGGTTTTTCATCAATCATACAAAAGTAAAAAAACCTAGAAAACCTTGGTTTACTCGGGAATGTCATCTTAAGAGGTTAGAGTTTCATAGAGCCAAACGTCGCTATAATGCCGATAAAATTCCCCCAAACAAAATTACTCTTAAAAATACTGGTATAGAATACAGGAGAACTTTGAATACATTTTATAAAATTCATCAAGAGAAAATGGAAATGGAACTAAGAAAAGTTTCAAAAATAGAGCCGAAAACATTCTGGCACATTCTTAATGAAATCGACGGCACTTGTAAGGGACAGAATGTTGATAAAAATATCCTTTAAAGATCTGAACAAGGGAGGTAACTCTACTGAAATCTTTCAAAGCGATATGGAAGATTTGATGATCTGTTGAATGGAGAAATTACCGAATGTAAAATTACTAAATCCATTTCTTGTTTCAGTAACAATAAGGCTTCAGGTTATGATGGAATCTTGAATGAATATTTAAAATCCACTGTAGAATTATTTAAACCATTATATTATAAGTTATTTAATGCTATATTTAATACAGGCTGTATACCTGACTCTTGGAAGACAGGTGTTATAAAACCCATATATAACCGTAAAGGTGATCGGGATAATTCAGATAATTATAGAGCAATAAGTCTCGTCTCATGTCTTGGAAAAGTGTTTACATCCATACTTAATATCAGATTAAATAAAATGGCTAATGAAATAAATCTTATATCTTGGGCTCAGGCTGGATTCAGGAAAAAGCACTCCACCACGGACAATATTTTCATTCTACATGCCTTAACCTCTATTTATTTTTCACTCGGAAAAAAGTTGTATTGTTCCTTTATAGATTTCAAAAAGGCATTTGATTCGGTTTGGAGACTTGGGCTATGGAAAAAAGTTCAAAAAAGTAAAATAACTGGGAAAATGTTCAAAGTCATTTTTGATTTATATGCAAATACTAAATCCTGTGTTAAAAATGGAAATGATATATCTGATATGTTCAACTGTAACATTGGGGTAAAACAAGGGGAACATTTATCGCCATGTTTATTTGCCATTTATCTTAATGATCTAGAAGATTTTCTTGAAGAAAACAGCGTTAATTGTTTACAAACAATAGAAACTTTAAGTGAAAATATTGGAATATATATCAAACTGTTTATAATTCTCTATGCAGATGATACTGTTATCATGTCTGAATCGGCGGAAGGACTCCAATCAGCACTTAATACTTTTGAATTATATTGTAACAGCTGGAAGCTTGATGTAAATATCAACAAAACCAAAATTGTTAGATTTTCAAAGAGAAAATGTCGAACACAGTTTCATTTTACAATATGTAATGAAGAGATAGAGGATTTTGAAGCATTTTCCTATTTAGGAGTCTTAATAAGTTACAATGGAAGTTATTTCAAAGCAAAAATGAAATTGTTGGCACAGTCCAAAAAAGCTATGTTTGCTGTGTACAAGAAAATAAGAAATATTTCATTACCTGAAGACCTTCAATTTTTTTTTTTGATTCTCTTGTATTACCAATACTTCTCTATTCAGTAGAAGTATGGGGGTTTGACAATTTAAATGCTATTGAAAAACTACGTTTACAATTCTGCAAGCGTATATTGGGTATTAAAAGAAGCACGCCAAACTACATGGTTTTTGGATAGATCGGGAGATTCCCTTTATATGTTGAAGTTAAAACCAGAGTAATTATGTTTTGGTATAAATTGATAACTAGCAATAGTCTGTCAAGCACTATGTATAACTTAATATTTAACTTACAAACAAATGGAATCATGGAGTTCAAATGGTTAAAGAATGTTCAGGATATATGCATAGAAACAGGTTTAAATTTTATCTGGGCATATCAGAAAACATGTACGTTAAATAGAGATTATTTGAAACTTGTTGTGAAACAAAGATTACGAGATCAGTTTATCCAAAAAGGATTTAACGATATCGAGAGCTCTTCAAGAGGATCTACCTATTCCAATTTTAAAACAAATTTTGAACTTGAAAATTACTTTGTGAAACTAAAGCCAAAAGAAAGACAAATTATTGTTAAGTTTAGAACTTCAAATATGCACTTACCTATAGAAACTGTAAGATGGATTGGAATACCCAAAGAAAACAGAACTTGTAATCTTTGTTTTAATGAAATTGTTGATGAATATCATTATCTATTTAAGTGCGAACATGTATCTGTTAAACAAATAAGACAACTATTTATTCCAAATTACTACTATACTTACCCTAGCCTTATTAAAATGCGTGGACTATTTACTATATGCAATGTAAAAGTTTTAAAAAATGTTAGCAAATTTCTAGAAAAACTTGAAAATTTATTGAATATATGTAATTAGTTTGTAGCCTTTATGCCTTTGTTATCCGCCATTTATATATGAATATGATACATATTGACCTCTTGTTACATACTTTGTATGTCTGAGAGAAATAAAAATCTGAATCTGGAAATAACAAAGTGTGATTTAACCCTATCAGCGTGTGTATAGTAAGTGTGATTTAACCCTATCAGCGTGTGTTTAGCAAGTGTGATTTAACCCTATCAGCGTGTGTATAGTAAGTGTGATTTAACCCTATCAGCGTGTGTATAGTAAGTGTGATTTAACCCTATCAGC